CAGAACAAAGATATTTTCTCTAAAAGAGATGGAGAAGGCAACTAATAATTTTGATGAGACTCGAGTGCTCGGCCGCGGCGGACATGGAACGGTTTACAAAGGAATTTTGTCGGATCAACGTGTAGTCGCCGTCAAAAAATCTAAATATGTGAAACAAAGTGAGATAGACCAGTTCATCAACGAGGTTGCAGTTCTTTCTCAGATTAATCACAGGAATATTGTTAAGCTTTTCGGGTGTTGCTTGGAAACTGAAGTTCCCTTGTTGATCTATGAGTTTATCTCGAATGGGACTCTTTTAGATCATCTCCATATTCCAGATGGTAACTCTATATTATCATGGGATGATCGCCTGAGGATTGCTGTTGAGGCTGCCGGAGCGCTCGCTTATTTACACTCGGCCGCTTCAATTTCGATATTTCATAGAGATGTCAAATCATCAAATGTTCTTTTAGATGATCATTTAACGGCTAAAATATCAGATTTTGGATCTTCGAGACTTATTCCACTCGACCAAACTCATTTACTCACTGCTGTGCAAGGCACCTTTGGATACCTTGACCCGGAGTACTATCAGACCAGTCAGTTGACAGAGAAGAGCGATGTTTATAGCTTCGGAGTCATTCTTCTAGAACTTTTAACAGGTAAAAAGCCAATTTTCTCCACCGAATATGAACACAGACTGAATCTATCGATGCATTTTCTTCAAACGGTGAGAGCGAATCGCCCCTTTGATCTTATAGATGATCTTGTTATGAAAGAAGCAACCGAAGAAGAGCTCATCGACATGATTGGATTGGTAGAAATGTGTTTAAGATTGAAAGGGGTTAAACGGCCTACGATGAAAGAGGTGGAGTATAAATTACAGAACTTGAGAAGGATCAGACTGAAAAAAACAGGACATTGTTTGGTTAAAAGTGACGAAGAAACAGAGCATCCGCCGAGAGACTCACCTTATGGCTTCTCTGAAGTCGTCGACCAAGCAAATCAAGGTACATCCAGGAATTATACCTTAGAGAAAGAATTTATGTGGTCGCATCATCACCCACGGTGAGTTTGTATTCGATGTCCATATCATTATTGACTGCTTGAATGCCACTGAATAAGCTTCCTTCTGCTTGAGGATCGTATGTAATGGTCATATGGGTAATGTTATGTTCCAAACTTGTTCCTAAAACAGTTTCCATCTTATGGCTCTATCACATATATGATCGAGTTGGTGGGAATGGCATGTAGAATTAGTAGGTATGTGTCTGTACTCTACTTGTGTTGTAATGTTCAGAGAACTACCCTTTAATATGATGAAATCACGTGTGTACAACTCATTCTTCTCTTGTTTTATGACCGTCCTCGGTCCATGTTTTATGGTAATATTTCTGAAATCGTTTGAATACGATTGGTTTATGTTATAACTCAGATCCGTCGTGTTTGGATTTACATCTTTTTGTATTAGATGATGGCATGAGGTCATTTCGGTTGCTCATTTCACTCTACGGTCCAATCCATGACAGAGAACCCTCACTCTCTCTCTCTCTCTCTCTCTCTCTCTCTCTCTCTCTCTATATATATATATATATATATATATGGAACGTTATTGTTAACCACACTCGCACTAGCATCGTTGACTTGCCAATTCGTCTCATTCTAATTTACTTTACAAGTCCATGGTTCTTTATATATGAAGTTAAAAACAAGATAGATCACAAATGGACTCTACTTGTTTTCTTATGGACTAACTGTCTCATTCTCATGGACTTCTTGAAATATCTTAATTATAATTGAAGATATCATCGTCCTTTCAAATTAAAGATATCATTCTTATAACAAAGAAAGGACGATGATGACAAGGGAGTACGGGATGCTCCTCCACCTATCGTCACAATGGCGAGGGTGAGGATGACAAAGATAACAACGATAATAGAGGAAGAGGAAAGGGGAGGCGAGGTTGATATGTGACGGTGTTGAGCGAAGATAATGATGAAGAAGGACAATATTATTATTTAAAAAAATATATATATTCTACGAGAATTTTTTAGGAAAAGAGTGGTAGCTTAGAATTTTTTAAAGAATATGAGTTTTTTTAAAGAATTTTCTCAAATAAAAATAACTTTTCCATTCTTATGAAAACTCCTCTCCGACTTTTTCTTTCTTTGACTAGCTTAGATAAAAGTAATTTTTTTGTTCATAAAAGATAAGTAAGGTACTATATTTATAATTATTTTACTTAGAAATTGATAAGACAATTTAGTCCCATATTAATTGAGGAGTATGAGAACGCTCATAAATCGGTCAAATCTCCCTTACCCTCAAAGGTTTTTATTTTTAGCGCGCTAACTAATTAGTTTTCACAATGGAGATAGGATGAGCGAATTGATGGCTTAGACATGATGATGATAATGATGTATCATGACTTAGAAACTAATATCTAATAAAATAAGAAGAAATTATCAACTATAATTTAATTCTTTCGAAAAACAAATAATCTAAAAAATCCTATTATATGATTTTATTTGATTATTTTTTCCTTTGAATTCATGTTCTACTAATAATTATTAATGGTGATATAGTATGTCCAAACATATAATGAATATACCATACGTTGCCTAACATAATCTATTATTTTTTGTATAGACAAATATTACATAACATGCACTAAAAACTTATTGTACGATTTGGACTTCTAAATTTATCAGTGCCCACGGTATCATTTTATATAGTTATCATTTTCTTCATCAAAAATTAAAAAAACAAAAAAATACTTCAAATTATCATCGTTTACTTGACCCATACTCAGATAGCTCAAAATCACTCGATCAATGTGTTTGATATTTCAAAGTGGGTATATATGGCGTTGCTTTCATGATTTATGTCTTTGTAAATTATCATGGCCACGAGAAATGCCCGACGTATATAGTTGGAAATTGTAGGTGGAAAATTTCCGAGCAGGAGTTGTTTCCACGATGTACATCTCTATCAACCCTTATTGGAGGATGAAGAGACTGTTTGAAAACCTGTGGCAGGAATCATCAAGACACTACATCACAAAGCACTATCATCAAATCAACGCCATGTCTTCTCAAAGAAATCTCAAGAGGTTTTTTGGGCAGGGACGACTATAGCTAATATCACCTTCCACTCGGGTTAGAACTTTCAGTTTTCCCAGCCTGAAATCACCGTTTGCAGCAAATCATACAAGTCAGGCATTCGGATGAGGCCAGTGTTTTTCCTTTTTCTTTTTTATGTATAAGAACTAATTTTCTGTTCGTTTTGTAACTCGACACATTTATACAATAATTAAATTCACGCATAGATTACAGTCAATAAATGGACTCCAAGAAATTATGATATATATATATATATATATATGCCACCTTTTCTAGAGTAGAATATCTTTCGGATCCTTATTAAATGTGGATATAAATTAAGGCTTTTATAAAAATAAAAAATATTCAGAAAAATGATTATCATAAATAATTAAGCCTATTTATATGATTTTATTAATTTCAAATAATAAATATTGATTTATTATTTTTCTGTAAAATTCCCTCGGTATCAGCTAGTTGTTGCACTTGTATACATTATATAAGGTTTGCATATACATCGAATTTTACTAATAATTTTTAGTAGCAATATTCATATATCTAAATATTTTAGGACATTTTACTGGAAAAAACTTTCATTATTGATTTTAAACCCCATATTCATTTTTACTTGGGGGCATCTTTTTTTTTTTCATTTGAATGAAATTATCCTCAAACTGTTACTAAAATGATTTGATCGCATATGCTATTCAATTTTTTTTTATTTTAATAATTATTTTTCAAAAAAAAATATAAATAAGAAAATGTTACTAAATATTTTAGAATCATATCCTATGATTCTGTAGAATTTTGAGTTCGTTTAGTAAAAAAATAATCATATATGAATGTTACATATATATATATATGTATATATATATATGTATATATATATATATATATATATGTATATATATATATGTATATATATATATATATATATATATATATATATATTTATATGTATATATATATATATGTATATATATTTATATGTATATATATATATACATATATATATATATATATATATGTATATATGTATATATGTATATATATGTATATATGTATATATATGTATATATATATATATACATATATATATATATACATATATATATAAATATATATATATACTGGCACTCACATGATTGCTTCTTGTGAAGTTTAATATGGACTACTCGTTGTAGATGGCTTCCCCACTAGCATCATTTTCACTCGCCAAAAACACAGTCATCTGTAAATTAAGTTAAAAGTTATAAGTGATCACCACGTGCTTTCTTTTTGACTAATTATTCCATTCTTACATAATTAAGCAAGATAAGATGACCAATTTGTCCCATTCTTATTAAGCTAAAAACAAGACATCGGTAATGGACTCTACTCGTTTTCTTATAAATTATCTGTTCCATTCTTACGGACTTATCAGTGCCATAGTAATCTGGTTGAAAGGAGAGTTCCATAGCACGGAAGTTCCCGAAGCTTCGTGGTATAGTTCCGGAAAGGTTGTTTGTTTGAAAGATCCAATATTTGAAGGGATGGAAGATGAGAAAATTGAGGAATGCTCCCATCGAAGGAATTAGAGCTTAAGCTAATCGTCTTCAGCTGCAGGAGGCTTTCTTTGCTCCAATCCGGTATATTTCCGATCAATTTATTGTGTTCTAGATCAAGGGTAATCAAGCTCGTACATCTTCTTAAACAAAAAGGGACCTGCCCAGATAAACTATTGTGGCTCAGGTGTAGTGATTGCAGTCGCTGCAAATTGCGGAGGGAATCAGGAATTCCTCCTTGTAATTTATTGTTTGATACATCTAGCACTCGTAGAAGTGAAGAACTCTTCCAACAACTAGGAAGCTCTCCTGAAAGGTTATAAGTTGAAAAGGAGGAGTCCAATCATGATTTTCCATCAGGAACGACGTGTTGCAAGTGAAGAATGAAGAGTGAAATGATAAAAACAAGAAGTGCTCGTTCCAATTAGTATCATATGGTTTTATACACGGTGAAAGAGACGATTTGCTCAACTGAGCAGCGAGATTTCCTCGTGCAGTTGAGGAAATCTCTTTGTTATCAGAGTAAATCTCTCTGTTATCGGTAAGAAATATGCAAATACTTTAAACTTGATAGATTAGCCAAGTGGACTTCAGACAAGCTCAATGAGTTACCGGAAAGATCCAAATAGACAAGGCTTCTCAGTTGTCCGAGGCCTTCGGGAATCGACCCATTCAAATTGTTGAGAACGAGAACCAAAGATTGCAGCAATGACAGGTTAAAAAGAGAATCAGGCACTGAACCATGGAGCGAATTCTCAGAAAGATCAAGTCCTCCAAGCCGAACTTAAGGCATCCAGAAAAAGCCACACTTCCAAATTGACTAGCGAATCGTTGATAAACGTGCCACTTAGTTGGAGGTTTTGGAGCTTGCAGAGGTTGGACAGAGCTTCGATTTGATCGCATACGCTATTCAAAATTTTTTAATTTTAATAATTTTGTTATAAATAAGAAAATGTTACTAAATATTTTAGTAAAAGTTAATCATATGTGAAAGTTACATTTGAAATTGAACCTATTAAAAAAATATTTAATTTTGATAACTTATTATAATAAAATCATGTAAAAATTTTAAAAAATATTAATCATTTTAGAATTCTGGCCAGATAGTTTGATAGAATCATGACCAGGATGATAAAAAAAGAACAAAAGAAGAGTTTGATGATGTTGTTAGATTTAAAGAAATATGTTTACAAGTAAAAGGAAACTATAGTCCCACGATGAAAGGAGTTAAGAGTTAAGTTGCATAGGTTGAGAATGATCAAAAAGCAGAGAAGTGATAATTGGACCGGTAACAATCATGAAGATTCGGAGTGTCTTCTGCAGAATCCAAGTCACACTTTCCACGAAGCAATCTATAAATTTGGATAACAAGCAACCCAAGAAAGATGTCGGAATTTTAGTTTGGAGGAAGAAATAATGTCATTCAGTAAGCTATCCTCGATGAACATATAGTGTCGTGTATGTTGATGTTCATGTGAAGATGTGCATAATTTGTGCGTTCATTTGGTCAAAGCCCCACCATTCGATTCGATGGAGTTCATCGTTCTTTACAACACCATCCGATCACTTTGATGCGGTTGGGTTACATATTTTATAATATTCATCCAAAATTTTTATGATACAAACAAAGCATTGGTAATTGGTCGGTGGATTGGATTTCCAAATATGTACCAGCG